ATATTGCATGCTCGTGTTCAAAGTCCTGAACTTGATCTAAATTACTAATATTTTGATCTCATGTTCATTTGTACTGTTCTATTGGTTCTTGTAAAGATGAAAGTGGTTTTTATTGGTAGACCTGGTTATAGAAGTATGGAGTTGAAAAGAGGAGTCAGGTTTGTAATTACCATGTAATGCTTGAGTTTCTAAGTTGTAATTTTCTAATTCTAATGTATTCCACTTTATTTTGATCCTGATCATCTTATGTCTTTATCAAGGTGTGGTAGTGTAACTTGACCTAGCACTTATATTCAATTCCACAACAAGAGAGGGAGATGTTATTACATTTCTTTGGAATCCTGCCAAAGATGGGAAGCTTGGACAGTTCAATGTAAGTGCTATAAAAGGACGAGATCTCTGGTTGATTTCGAAATTGGAACAACTGCAGCGGGCATGGTGGTGTCACCTGGCAGTTCAACTGATTGTAAGTTCTCTAATTTTTTCTATCTTCTTACATGTACTCTTTAATTTATACCAAATTTTTTTGGTATATATCAATTCACTAGAGTTAAGATTTCAGAGAAGTCTCAATCCTCGATATGCTCTTCAATGGAAAGTAAAGCACAGTTGGAATGGGACTTAATTACAATTGACAGAAACAAAAGCTCAGTATATATTGAACGTTTATTTTTAGCAATGATGTGAAATATCCTTGTTGTGTACTGTATCCATGTTCATGTAATTGGTTTTAATGTATAAACAAATCTTTGAAAATCTGTATGAATGAACTTTTAAATTATACTTTGTGATTCAGTATAACGTCATTACCACTGAAAGCTGATTAAAGGCTGCAGGGTAGACAGGGATGAGCAAAACGTGAAAAAGAAAATAATAATTATAATATTATTAACAATAAATGACTTTAATACTGGTAATAAAACTGGTAATTTGATCCCTGATGATGCCGTTAATCGGCGAAAGCTTGGATTTGAAATTTTAATTTTTAGACAGCAGTTTAAGGACTCATTGGAACATTTTGTATGTTACTGATAATAATGATAATCCCTTTTAATAATTTATAATAATATTATGGTGGGATTTAGCTGTGGATGTTCTACGAGGTGGTTCTTCTTGTCCACTTTTTCCTGCTCGAATGCAATTTAGAATGTTGCTTTTCGTGGAAGGAGGAAAACCCTCGGAGCAGTAGCGAGAGTCAAAAACAAACTTAACCCACATGTGACGCCAGGTGCAGCTGAAAGCGAACGTGGACCCCAGCGACGAGGGGCGACCGCTCTCACCTGACTGCACCATCCTCGCTCCCTATTCTAATGTGGGAATCGAAATCTCATGTTATTGGGTAATCATGGCCATCAATTATAAAAACGGTTGGTGTGTAGATAAAGTGTCGTGAAACGGTAGAGCGGAGGATTTCCGAAATTCAGTTTATGGTCATATATCTGTCATAATTATGTTGTTCTTCTCATTTTTCCAGGGACTATTGTTGGTGCAGCACTTGGATCAGTTGCGGCACTTTCTATTGCTGTGGGAATATTTCTAGTTTTTGTATGGAGGTCAAGAAGTCGACGAAACAATAAGTCGAATGGTAACTGTTGTATTTACTGAGAACTTTGCGCCCAGGTAATGTGTTTTAGCATTACACAATTAAGGGTTGACTTGTATGTATTTTTACCTAGCTTTATTTAAACACAAGTGAGGTTTAAAGATTTTTAGACAGTTTAGCAGTATGCAAACCGGAGCCTCTGGGTGTTCTGGCGTTGAGTTGGCCAGGAAAACTCAATAAAAGCCCTCTTTTGTTTATAGAGTTGTATGTGCCTGTAATTTGCGCGAGTCTAAAGCAACAAAACGGTGATTACATGCTCTTATCTAAACGTGTCTCTAATTTTTTCACGATTTTGATTATCGCTTCTAGCTTGCTGCAGAACACTTTTCCTTTCTAAATTATTCATGTACAAATAAATGTCAGAGGACTTAGTATTGCCTTTGCATTCATTTCTTCCTTTCTCTTTAGATACTTCTTTCGCTGGTTTTATTTCTATCCTGCTTTATGATTACACAATAAAATGTTTTTTTTTTTCTTAATCGTTTTAGGAAAAGCAAAAAGAGATCATAGGTAAGTTTTTGGAGCGATAAATTATCGTCCATTTGTATGGTTTGTTTACGTCTTTTTTTTTGGAACTAGTTATAAACTGTTTTCAACAGAGCATTTCTTTAATTATTTTTTGCATGAAACACAGTAGTTACATTCTCAGCAGTGCCTCACCCCAATGCTCGATTTTTTACAGCACGTTTAACGTAGACTCTTCAACCACCTCCCACCTTCCCCTCTCCACACACACACACGCACACACGCACACACACAAACACACACTCACACACTCACACTCACACACACTAACACACATACACACACACACACACACATACACACACTCACACACACACACTCGCACACTCGCACACTCGCACACTCGCACACTCGCACACTCTTATGGCTTCTTATGACTTATGTTTGTAGTGTTGTCAAAGGTTTGTTTACACGCAGTGTTAAGTGCTTTTCCATGCATCTGAACTAACCTTCCTGGTGTTCATCCCTTAGAATTTGAATATCGCAGCAAAGATATCATCTCTTTTTATGTAATTAAATTTGTAAATATTTGAGGTCTGATGGAAAATCACTGGACGAAAGAGTAATTGTTAATGTAAGTAATTTCTCTGTTTAAGCGATGTAAGCTACTGCTGTTCAATCAAGTTTGATATAGTGACTTTCCCCTTCAGGTAGCGGTGATTTTTATCCAAAAAAGCTTTGCATCAGTGGAGCAATTAATCACTGTGCAATAGCATCTCCAAACCCAAACGCAATTTTAGATTTATGTCTTTTAATTTAAACACTAACATCGATGACTTTGTCTTTTCAATTTTTTTCACAGTCATTCCCAATTAGATTGTCATAGATTGTGTTTTCACGGTTTAGAGAATGCTGCGTTCATGCCTACATGTTATCTGTACTATCCAAAGCTTTTAAAGCCGGAACGGTAGTTGTCTTCGTGTATAACTGATGACAAAGAAGAAGCGAAAGGCATTCCACTTGGAGCTCCTAGAATATCAACTGTTTATTTGTATCTTTCTTCACGATGACTTCTAAACGATATTGTAGGCGCTGTTTTTCGAGTAGTACGCCACAGCTTAACAAGTAGAAAGTTTGATACGAACTTAGGTGGCATTTAGTTCACTTTTTTAAAATCAATTTCCAAAGGTACTTGTACTAAGTAAATTTTCATCGATGATCATTAAATTTCCAAAGAAACGATGGTCGGTAAGCTTTGAGAAAATGAAATTACGTTAATGTTACTATGAGGATGCTCTTGCATGGTAACCGTACAGGTGAAGGATGGACTGCCGATCCCTATGTTTGTTTTAGGTCAGTTGAAATACATACGTTTTTTTAACGTCAGTTATTCAGATAAATTGTGATACCTTTTAGTGAAGCCGTTGTGTATTATTACGTTTCTTCTTTAAAAAAGACTGAGCTTGAAATGACGGATCCTTCTCAAAGCCAGCAGTACATGACATTGGACGAGAGGGCTCGACACACTAAACCAGTCAGAGAATATGCCTCTCAATCCACGGACACGATATTGGGAGATTCCTACAGAGCACGTGACCATAGAAAAGATCATTGGTAAAGGAGCTTTTGATCAGGTTGCTAAAGCAACAGTCATCGGCCTCCAGGGAAGACTGAAGAAGACAGTTGTGGCTACTAAGATGTTAAAGGGAATCAAGTACTTAAAAAAAGTTCTACCTTTCTGTAAAGTTCCTGAATAAACACCCCCTTCCTTTCACCCCTCTCCCTGCAAAAAAGTAGCGTTTTGGAAGTAGCAGGTCAAGCACAACCTCCCCGCATCTCAAATGGGGAGACTAAGGTCATTTTAGTCTTATATTTTTTCTTTAATCAGTATTCAAGTAAACATGGCATCATTAGGTTGACTACCATAACCTAAGCACTTTACAACAAGGTATCACTTGTGGAATTTCCTTCCAAATGAAACCGATAATCTACCATCATTTCACATGCTAGGATGGGGGAGAACCGAGACGGTCACCCCAAACGACCCAACCTTTGTGGTATCGTCTAAGCCATGCCAGAGTGCTCAAACTAGAGTAAACCAGCGAGCATGCGCAATTGCAACGGCAATGACTCATCCTAGATAGAGTGCTCAATTTGGACATGAAAGCAAAGCTTTGTATGCCAAAGAGCTATATCTAACTGCAGACAGTACTGTTTCGGCCTTCTGGGCCTCATCAGTGCAGTGCTAATGCTAGGATGGGGGAGAACCGAGACGGTCACCCCAAACGACCCAACCTTTGTGGTATCGTCTAAGCCATGCCAGAGTGCTCAAACTAGAGTAAACCAGCGAGCATGCGCAATTGCAACGGCAATGACTCATCCTAGATAGAGTGCTCAATTTGGACATGAAAGCAAAGCTTTGTATGCCAAAGAGCTATATCTAACTGCAGACAGTACTGTTTCGGCCTTCTGGGCCTCATCAGTGCAGTGCTAATGCTAGGATGGGGGAGAACCGAGACGGTCACCCCAAACGACCCAACCTTTGTGGTATCGTCTAAGCCATGCCAGAGTGCTCAAACTAGAGTAAACCAGCGAGCATGCGCAATTGCAACGGCAATGACTCATCCTAGATAGAGTGCTCAATTTGGACATGAAAGCAAAGCTTTGTATGCCAAAGAGCTATATCTAACTGCAGACAGTACTGTTTCGGCCTTCTGGGCCTCATCAGTGCAGTGCTAATGCTAGGATGGGGGAGAACCGAGACGGTCACCCCAAACGACCCAACCTTTGTGGTATCGTCTAAGCCATGCCAGAGTGCTCAAACTAGAGTAAACCAGCGAGCATGCGCAATTGCAACGGCAATGACTCATCCTAGATAGAGTGCTCAATTTGGACATGAAAGCAAAGCTTTGTATGCCAAAGAGCTATATCTAACTGCAGACAGTACTGTTTCGGCCTTCTGGGCCTCATCAGTGCAGTGCTAATGCTAGGATGGGGGAGAACCGAGACGGTCACCCCAAACGACCCAACCTTTGTGGTATCGTCTAAGCCATGCCAGAGTGCTCAAACTAGAGTAAACCAGCGAGCATGCGCAATTGCAACGGCAATGACTCATCCTAGATAGAGTGCTCAATTTGGACATGAAAGCAAAGCTTTGTATGCCAAAGAGCTATATCTAACTGCAGACAGTACTGTTTCGGCCTTCTGGGCCTCATCAGTGCAGTGCTAATGCTAGGATGGGGGAGAACCGAGACGGTCACCCCAAACGACCCAACCTTTGTGGTATCGTCTAAGCCATGCCAGAGTGCTCAAACTAGAGTAAACCAGCGAGCATGCGCAATTGCAACGGCAATGACTCATCCTAGATAGAGTGCTCAATTTGGACATGAAAGCAAAGCTTTGTATGCCAAAGAGCTATATCTAACTGCAGACAGTACTGTTTCGGCCTTCTGGGCCTCATCAGTGCAGTGCTAATGCTAGGATGGGGGAGAACCGAGACGGTCACCCCAAACGACCCAACCTTTGTGGTATCGTCTAAGCCATGCCAGAGTGCTCAAACTAGAGTAAACCAGCGAGCATGCGCAATTGCAACGGCAATGACTCATCCTAGATAGAGTGCTCAATTTGGACATGAAAGCAAAGCTTTGTATGCCAAAGAGCTATATCTAACTGCAGACAGTACTGTTTCGGCCTTCTGGGCCTCATCAGTGCAGTGCTAATGCTAGGATGGGGGAGAACCGAGACGGTCACCCCAAACGACCCAACCTTTGTGGTATCGTCTAAGCCATGCCAGAGTGCTCAAACTAGAGTAAACCAGCGAGCATGCGCAATTGCAACGGCAATGACTCATCCTAGATAGAGTGCTCAATTTGGACATGAAAGCAAAGCTTTGTATGCCAAAGAGCTATATCTAACTGCAGACAGTACTGTTTCGGCCTTCTGGGCCTCATCAGTGCAGTGCTAATGCTAGGATGGGGGAGAACCGAGACGGTCACCCCAAACGACCCAACCTTTGTGGTATCGTCTAAGCCATGCCAGAGTGCTCAAACTAGAGTAAACCAGCGAGCATGCGCAATTGCAACGGCAATGACTCATCCTAGATAGAGTGCTCAATTTGGACATGAAAGCAAAGCTTTGTATGCCAAAGAGCTATATCTAACTGCAGACAGTACTGTTTCGGCCTTCTGGGCCTCATCAGTGCAGTGCTAATGCTAGGATGGGGGAGAACCGAGACGGTCACCCCAAACGACCCAACCTTTGTGGTATCGTCTAAGCCATGCCAGAGTGCTCAAACTAGAGTAAACCAGCGAGCATGCGCAATTGCAACGGCAATGACTCATCCTAGATAGAGTGCTCAATTTGGACATGAAAGCAAAGCTTTGTATGCCAAAGAGCTATATCTAACTGCAGACAGTACTGTTTCGGCCTTCTGGGCCTCATCAGTGCAGTGCTAATGCTAGGATGGGGGAGAACCGAGACGGTCACCCCAAACGACCCAACCTTTGTGGTATCGTCTAAGCCATGCCAGAGTGCTCAAACTAGAGTAAACCAGCGAGCATGCGCAATTGCAACGGCAATGACTCATCCTAGATAGAGTGCTCAATTTGGACATGAAAGCAAAGCTTTGTATGCCAAAGAGCTATATCTAACTGCAGACAGTACTGTTTCGGCCTTCTGGGCCTCATCAGTGCAGTGCTAATGCTAGGATGGGGGAGAACCGAGACGGTCACCCCAAACGACCCAACCTTTGTGGTATCGTCTAAGCCATGCCAGAGTGCTCAAACTAGAGTAAACCAGCGAGCATGCGCAATTGCAACGGCAATGACTCATCCTAGATAGAGTGCTCAATATATATATATATATATATATATATATATATATGCCTATCAAAGAACGCAACGTTTTGATAATCTTATGCATATGTACTTATCCTTATGTCCGTGCGTTCCATGCAGCGCATAATCTTTTACATGCCTATCCCTATG